TATATATATTTAGTATGTATACATTTTAATACAAAAGTTTCTCTTTATAAAAATCTAAAGAGTTTAAAATAATTTAAAAATTTATCATATTTAAAGCAAAATTTTCATAAAGATTTAATATTTTTTTATCACTCATTACGCATAAATCTGTAATAGTTGCCTATAAACGATATAAGTGAAATACAGATAACATTAAAAAATATTAAATGAATAATCGAATAGTTTATAATCATTTTCATAAATTTTGTAAATCTCATGGAGGAGCGATTGTGGTATATCTTTGATATAGTTGTCAAGTACCTGTCTAGTAGTCGTACCGCGAGGATTCATATTTTGTACATTGTTTTTTTCGTGTAAATATTTGTTCAGATTCATGTCCTGAATCAAAAAATTCTGATCCCTGTCCAGTGTCTCGAATTTGAGAATGTAATTATAATGGATCGTGCAAGGCTTGCAGAAGCGATAATACGGCATCCAGTGTTCGTCAAAATATCTCTCGTTGATTATGAACAGCAGAAATTCCTCAAACGTTGGTTCTAATTTCGTTATATTCGATTGACGATATTTGAGCACAATACGTTGGCCAAAACGTTTGTAGTAATGCTCATGATTCCGCACGTGCTCGAACTTGTCTCTGTATGCGGACAATAGACGCTCCAATGGATGTCGCACAATCAGAAATGTCTTCGTTCTGTTCATATTCTAAAAATTAGAAAAACGCAAATTCATTCGAATGCAAATTTGATTCGTTTAATCTCGATTAATCTCTTTCTTTGCACGTGTCGGTTCTTTATAAAATAAATTTGAGAATAAAAAGGTTTAGAATTATTTTATACTTTTTCTATTTATACGAGAAATATTATCTTGTATAATTAATTTTATTTCATTATTAGAGAGAGAAACGAGAAACACAAAAAAAATGATTTTATAAAACTCTTAATATATCTACAAGTTTATATGATGGATTGATCAATCTCATTGATTTTGAGAGATTGACAAAGCATTGATAAAAAATTAAAAAAGCGCAATTCTCTCACCTCGTAGATTTTAGTAACATTCATATTTTGCTGAAACTTCTGTCTTATCACATCAGTGCTTCGTAGCCAATTGCGGCGCATTAAATCCACAATAAAATCCGGCGGAATATCTTGCATAAGAATGAAATTATTCATCCACGTAGAACTCGCCGCCTTACGTATGGGACACCATGACAGGTTGTGCTTCCTTTGAAATAAATTTTTAATTATTGCTCGATGCTTTCTAACGTTAAAAATCTAATAGAAACCATTTAATTCTTTTGATCTTTATTCTTTATTTTGTATATGATATAAAATTTGTTAATAAATGTATGTAATTTTTAAGATATTTTTCAGCATTTTCCTCACTTACACATCGATAACCATATGCATCAGCGTAGTATTCAGGTGCGATGTCTTCATACCGATTATGTCGCACATGCGTGCCACTTTTCGTCTTCTATTATCAAATTCCTGCCTAACGTTCTCCATTTGATCTGACGATATCGTAACTCGCGAGAACATTGTTCTAGACGCGGGAATACGTTCAACGAACACAGACGATGCATACCTCAGCGATGTGGCCGGCTCTGTGTTTGTCTTCGTATACACTAGATTTGTTAATGTTAACAACGTGATAATGCAGATCGCCGCTAATATTATGATCTGTATGATCGGCTGTGTCAAAGTGACTTGTCTCTACAAATTAAATAATTTTTCTCTTTGAAGAATTAAAAGAGAAATAAAAGAGAAATAAAGACAGAAATAAAGAAGAGATCGTTCGAAACGTGATGATTTGAAAGAAGGGAAACACGATTAATCTGGAATATTTTGTGTTCCTACCTGTATCAATTTTTTCAAGATGTGATAGATACGAGATTTCAGTGATCGCGGATAAATTATCAAATTTTCATTGTCACTCGATGTTAACGCAACGATTGTTACTTTTTTCTGCATTGTATGCGTCGTGTCTCTAATCTTATCACATGTATAATTTACTTATTGGTGAAATACTATTCGAATAAATTACTAAAAACTATAATTGAAAAACTATAGTTTGGAATCTTGTACCGTAACACGATCGATACTGAACGTGAATATCTGAAGATCCACAACAAAGCGACAAAACAGAGTTCCGTTTCCTCTCTCATATCCCGCCTCCGCAGATAGATGAGAAGAAATATCTCGGTTTATCTATTTCAACACAATAACACAAAAGTTCCATGTAAAAATCAAGAACTTGTGTCCTCTACGCGGGTTTAAATATGAAAAAACGACGAAGCGCGAAACAAAGCACATTTAAAGCATATTTAAAAACAATTGAAAAAAGATAATTCGTTATGGAACAATAATCATGAAAAATATAGTAATGCTTTAGTTTCTTTTCTATTTTCTATATACATTTCATTTTAATCACATTTTAATATAATGAATAATAATATTCTCGATATTGTTAAAGAAATATATTTTTATTTTTTTGATATTGCTTCAACATTATATGTGTGTAAATTCTATAAAAATTAAATTGTATATATTCAATATTCCTGTATCTAAAGAACCCCGCATAAATTTTATGAAAATTGGCTCTCTATCTCTATTACTTCAAATTTTAATGAGCTAATAATATAAAAATTTTATAGCTCATGTTAAGCTGATTAAAAGTTCTCACGGGGACAAAATGCCTTAGTTTTTGCTCCAGGACTTTGGGTCATCACATCTTATATAAAAAAATTAAAATAAATATTTTTTATTAACATTAGTTATACTGAATACTGTATAATCGTGGATATATATTCTATGTCACGGAATTTTCCATAAGATTTATGCGAAGTTCTTTAAAAAAATATATTTTTATAATATTCTCGTATTTATATATTTATATTATTTATATTATATTTATATTATTTAATATTGTTACTATATATTTGTACATTCTACATTGCTATATATTATAATTAATGTATATAAAATTTTGCAGGCGCTTCCGCCGTAGCTTCTTTCTGCTCTCTGACATGGGCCGTAAGTACATACGTGAGGGCCATGTATAATATTAATCGCGAGCGTAGCAACGCGACGTGGATCGCTCTCGCTCTTCAGGTTCTCTGGCGCAGCGGTATGCTACTGTCTAGAATTGGAGTTTTGGTATTAGCGGCTATCTTTCTGAGAGCGTGGTTCTTTTTGTTTCTAGGTGAGTTTTTATTAATGGATAGTAGATTTTGTAACTAGAACGCGGAGATCAATAGTAAATTTTAAATAAAAGACATAAGAAAATTAAAATATATTGCATTTCTTTGGCAAAGCAGGATCTTGGTTGCTAAAGTCTTTTAATATGAAAT